TATGGTATTTTTCAATTTATTGATGAAAATAATAAAAGATCTGTAAAATAACATTTATGATAGAAAATAATGAAATATTATTTTATGTATCATATATTGATGAGAAAAAAAAATTTTGGAAGACATTGAATCACACATCATTTCAATATTGTTTTTTACAGGAAATAATTTGATCTAATAAATCTATAAAATAATTATTTGTTTACATAGTACTTTTATTATATTAAAATAAGTAATAATTATAATAAATGTTCATAAATTATGTTTTGCCAATTATGTATGTATGTGGAACTTTTATTTAGTCGCAATTTTATTTGTATATTGTAAAATTAATATTTTTAAATATTATTGCTATCATTTTAAGTCGACTATATTTTTTCATAAATACTTAGATAATAATGCATACTTAGAATATTAGAAAAAAAATGAAATATTCTATATATATATATATATATATATATATATATATATTAATAACTTCATAAATATTCATAATTTTATGGAACTTTATGGAAAAAACTTTCTTTTATTAAACAAAAACGTAGACAGATATTGCTTGTTTTTTATTATCCATAATAATATAGTGAATATTTTTTTTTATTTTTATCACCCGAAACATTATTTATTATGGCTAAAGTATAAAAGAGCTGAGCGTTCCAGTTATTTGAGTCATAAGTAAATATAATTCAATTGCTCATAATACAATCAGTTTTCTATCAAAAATATACTCTTATTATTCATTTACTTTTGGATTATTAGATTAAATAAATAATTATATAAATCGAAGAAATATAATAATACTTAAATAATTTTGATAGAATTTTACCTTTTATATTTACATTTAAATATATAATACAAATATATAATATATATATTGATAAATATATAATACATATTGAACTTTACAGCACTTTTTATGAATAATTTTTGAAATTGGATTTATAATGTAGACTAAATTTTTGTAACATTTACAGAATAATTTTCATAATTAATCTATTTTTAGTTGTACAAATAAAAGAATACCTTGGGAGTAGTTATTTTATTACTCATTGATAAAAAAATTCCGTAAAAAAGTATAAATGAAAAGTGAGATAAAAATTTTGTACAATAAATCTTTCTTTCGTTATTGTTATTTGTTAACAATAAATCTTTTTTTTTTACAGAATTATGTGAGAATATAGAAGAAACACACGTACGCGCCGTAAAATATAAAATTAGCTAACAGTAATAGACTGATCTCCGACATATTAAATTTTATCTATTATGAAAAAATTTAATTATTAAACTGCTACAAAATATTTAATCTTTCAAATCATCATTATATAATATAAATATCTATCTAATAAAAGAAAAATATGTTAAATAAAGCACTATATTTTTTTCAATCATCTGTCATTTTATTATTATTTTGTTTTATCATAATAATAATCATTATAATAATAATTAAAATTAAATATTACTTATACTGTAAAAATGAATAAAATATTTCAATTGTTAATAAATTAATACAGTGATACTACTTATCAGGTACAATTAGTTTAGTTAATATATGTTCATAATATATTTGAAGGCGAATCAAAACTTTAGTAACAGACTCACAACTTGTACATGTCCTCGGTAGTTAATACATTGAATGTTATCTTTTTTAGTTTTTTTCATAATTCTCTCTTACAACTGAATTCCTGTAGTTTTTCATGTTTTTATTTGTAAATATTTTACTTACTATTAGTATAACATTACAATAATTGTATTTGTTAAAATTCAGATTAAAATATAGAAACATATTTGTCAACAACGGTAGCAAAATACGTTACAAAATAATAGTTCATGATTGATTAAAATAGTAATTAGGATAATATTTTTTAACCCGAGTTAAGAAAATATGACTTTATATTTCGAACGATAAGAGGTTACAAAATATTTTATCTTTTTACATATTTTTATTATATCACTTTGGATAAAAATAGTTTTTAAATATAATTACAAGTTTAAAATGATTATCACTAAAAATTATTAAATATTATTTATGTTGATTATAATATGTACAATATGCCTATAGATATCGAACGAGTAATAAACAATACGCAATAGTTTATCAGGGTATAAAATAAATTAATAATTAAAATTTGACGGAAATTTGAAAATTGTCAATATTCCTAAATTTTATAATAAAATTATAATAAAATGTTTATACACCGTTTATAATAATAAATAAAATTTTACTTATGTTACAAGATGACGTGATTATTTCCTTTTACTTAAGTAGCTTTTATGTTTGTAATAAAATTAATTGAATTGCTTGATTGTAAAAAAAAAAACATTCGTTTGAATTTAAGCTATACATGTTTAGTATTTATATTATGATAAATAGTAAAAATGAATATTTATCGATTATAATAATTATGATAAGGCACATATATATACATATAATCACGTTAATCTCGCGAAGAAAATTCAGTAATATATATTTTGTTATTAAAATTATCGATAAAATACTAATTTTTTTTAATTATGTTTTTTTTTCTATCCCGTACATATATTCCAGGGATATTTTGAAATTAAAATTTCAACCTGTTAGTGATTAAAAAACATTAACACAAGGAAAAATCTTATCAACGTTTTATAAAGAGATTTATCGTTGCAGAATCTTTATACTCACAAATTATTATTTCTTCTTGAAGAACACAGATTACTAATCACAGATCCTGACTAATATAGTATTTATTTTATAATTTAATTTAGAATTATTCAATTATATAGATCTAAATTATCTTTGATATAATTCGATATATCCTTAATAGTTAACATAAATTACAGCAAACCAAGTAATTATTATTTAAATGCTAATTTTATACATATATATATATATATATATATATATATATATATATATCAGACATTAAATTCATAACAATAAACATTAAAATCAGATAATATATATATATATATAGTAATATAATATAATAAATTGTTAAGTATCATATTAGTAATCGAAATCACTGTTTTACAAAAAGCTATTTTAAGCGGTACATTTTTATAATGTTAACTATGACATCTTTTTGTTCTTTAAAATGTTCTTGATCTTTGAATGGAGTCTAACAACAAAGTTTAATAAAATAAAAATTATCTAAATATATTTATATGTAATATATTGAATATTTTACTACTTTGATAGAGAATATTGTTGGAAATTTGTCAATTATAAATAGTATAACGGTAAGAATATCCAATATACTATAACTATATCAAGAATAATTGTTAATATTAAATATTCATGATTTTATTAATTTCAAATAATTTATTCATACGATATAGATAAAAGGATTTATTTTTTTATTAAAATTATTATCAATACATGTGTAATAAATATACGTATTAAAATGCAAGGTAATTTGTTCGAAAATTGCGTTAGAATATGTAAGAACGTGAACTATTAATATAAAAATTATTAGAATAAAGAAGCATAGTTCAATATTCGATTACAATGTTTCAGTTGACATAGAAATACAATTTATTTTTAGTTTTCATGAATGTGGCTGCGACAATCGAAGGAAGGTTTTAATAATTATTTATTTTTATCAATTTTAAGCGATCTTCGTAAAAACAATTTTTCCTTAATATTGTGGCAATTCGGAAAGGAATTGACAGCAAAGTATAAATAATATTTGCCAAATTAATTTAAAACATTAGTTTTGCGATAAAATCATTTCACTTATCAAACATCGATAATTAATTTGCAAATATGAAAATTAAAAAATTTTCTATTATTTATGTATTTTTATTGTATTCTATTGAATATTTACAAAACAATATAGCAAGTGGCTCTCGGTACATTCATAAAAATCACTCGATTGCTTTTATTCGAATTGTTTATTCGAATTATGTGGATTATTCGAACTTATCTATAGTAAATATTTTATTAATTATATTTAATTTTTAGTTCCATGACAGCAATGGCACTCAATAATCTACTAGTAAAAATTTGCTATATTAAGCTATTTTTAAAAACTTTTGTTAAAATTTCAAATATTAACTTAGGTCAATATTTTTCCTCTTTCACGGTATTCCATATTATTATAATGAACTATATAATTCTTACTTTCTGTAAATATGTGGAATAATAATTATCAAAAGTAGATTTTGAAGTTTCATATTGTTTGTGCATTTTATCAATTCAGGCCACTAAATATATGGGGACATTTGTATTTTTACATTGATCGAATATTTATGACAAATGCTATTATAATAGATTATGATGTACGTTAATTCATTGCATAAAGCATACAAAGTGCAAATTTTAAAGTGTATAACGTACTATATATTTTATCAATTAACCAATTGAATTATTTGCACAATACAATGGCAATTTGTTTTATTTATATAATTTTGCTAGTTAATTATAGGTTAAGAGAAAAGTATAAAAATCAAACTCATTATTAATCGAAACGAGTAATCTAATGTATTAAATTATCAAATTCACAATATCAATCATGATTGTAGTTAATTTCTTTAAGCGTTTCTGATTTAGCCTCATTGAATATGAAAGCCTTACTACATATTTATAAATAAACATTTGATGTTTAAGTATATATAAGAAAATTTTATTAAAAAAAAAAAAAAAAAAAAAAAAAAAAAAAAAAAAAAAAAAAAAAAAAAAAAAAAACCTGTAATCTTTTATGTTTTACAAGATAGTAAAAAGAACGATAATTAGAAGGTTGAATTTTGATTTAAGTGCGATAAAATAATTATATTTATAATGTTTTATAATGTTTTTCTGAATTCTTAATAATAAAATTTAGAGAAATGAGGTGTCGAAAAATCAAAGTTAAAAAGTAAATTTTAGATCATAAATTTTAGATTCAATAAAAGTATTCCTCAAAAGTATATGTGAAAATTATCGTTGTAAGAGATTTCTTTTGGCAAATATGTAAAATACAGTTTATATCTATTTGCACGTTTCAGATAAGATATAATACGAGTATTTATACTTTTAAATTACCGTTAACACAAATTATATATTACGTGGTTTCAGAAATAAAAACTTACGTATAAAAAGACGAAATTTAAAATATTAATTATTGCGGAAGTGCTAACTAATCGCATCATATTCAATCATATACATTATGCAGTTTTTAATCTTTTTCTACTTTTGTGCTATGTTTGCACGTAAGTAATTATTATGGTAAATTTCATTATTTTGAATGCATATTATTGAATTATACAGAAGGATAGTAAAAGAAATACAGTCGTTTATTAAATTTTCTAATCATTAAAATATATCCTAATCATAGGGAGACTAGTCATTTGTAATAAAATATTCCCTTTCGGACTAATATGTCTAATAAATTGTGAAATATCTTATTTAAATATTATCATTTTTGTTAATGTGACAGTCGTCGTGTCTGGGATTCCACTTGTTGGCCAAAATCCATGTACTTGGGGACCTACGTATTGGTGTCAAAATCCGGAGTAAGATACTTTTTTTTTTTTATTGTTCATTATTTCCAGCTAGTTATGAAATAATTTGTATTTTTGGTAAAGTTACGTTGCTTGAATTACAAAATTACGATGGCATAATTAACATATTATGATTAGTACTAAATTTGGAAATAAAAAAAATTACATTTTGCATAAATAATTGTCATTCGAATTATTATAACTATCATCATTAATAATTTTTCATTTAAATTAATATTTTTCATTTAAAAAGCCAATAAATAGTCATTGTAATTTTGACAATTAATTATTAATTAATTTAGAATTTATGCCTATACTTTACTTCGTTCTTGTTCTATAATACTTCAAGCACTAACGTTTCTTTTTAAATATCACGAAAACAATCACGTAGAATAATAATTATAAATATTTATATATTCAAATTTCTATGTAGCTATAATTTTAAATTTTCAGCACCATAGCTGAATGCCAGGCTGAAATATATTGTTCAACCCATTAGGAATATACATACTCATGTATATATATATATATATATATATATATATATATATTCATTATTGTATTTTAGAAAATGTTGCATTAGTAGCAATATATTACAGATATAGAAATATTGTTTCAAGCATTTATTATTAAATTCTTGTCAAACTTTTATTTTTTAAAAATGTTATTAAAGAAATAGGCAAAAGAAAATTCTTGTGTTCTTAATTAATTAATTGCTTTCTTCATGTGAATAACAAACATTTATTAAATTATACATAACTACTTGTAAAAAAAAGAGACAAAGAAAATAAAGAAAAAAAAAATTTCCTATATTTTTTTCATTAGTTAATATGAATTTCTTCTATTATATTTGTAAAAGTAAAAATTATATATATTTCTAAAGGTTGATAGATTTTTAAATTTCAAATAGTAGTTTAAAATTCCGATATAAAAAATTTTAATTTTGGAATTTAGTCGTCAAAACGAGGATCCTCGATTTAGTAAATAATAATTTTAGATAATAAAACCTTTGCTGTATTAATATTATGATATGAAGATTAATAGAATAAATGCGTGGGTCAAGCGCATTCTTCCTCTGGATTTGAAAAAAAATATTATAACGATAACTTAATGATTTTATATTCATGAAGAATAATACTTTCCAAACACCTTGCTTAAACAATTTGATCAAAAAAAAAAAAAAAAAAAAAAGAAAAAGAAAACACTTGTATAAAGCAAGTAAGATTAGGTTTGCAAATATTTTTATGGTTCTTCATCTCGGAAAAACCAAATTATCCAAACAACGCTCGTGTGTATCGGCCATAAAACCAAAAAGATTTATTATAATCCGAGTGAGTATATCATACCAAACTCGTGCCAACGGAGGGTAAAATTGACAGGGCATCCTTGGCTGACATGTGCAGTGCCTCGACCAACATAACAGCCATTGTTTCCCTCCTAAGGGCTTTTTCGGTAAGGTTCTTGGCTGCGGGTACCATCTCGTGTGAGGCTGCTAGGTACCAGGCAGGAGAGTTTCGACTAAGGCGCGCGTCCGAATCCATGATGATCCGCTCTTGCTCTTGGTATCGGATCATTGAGCTGTTCGTGCGGTTCTTCAGGTCCTGCAGTATTCGCGCTGGCAAAATTGTCGCCTGAGCGAACCATAGTAAGGCTGAGAACCTATAAGCGGACATACCAATGTTTTAAAGGTGGTTTGTCATTGCCTTTTACGTTTCTGTAAAGAAACAGCGTCTAGTTATATAATGTCAATGTGATGCAATAAATGCGCCTACATATTCTTAAATAACTAATTGTTCATATCGATGCGATTGTAAATGATAGCTCGAAATATGGGTATAACGGACTAATCAAGAGAAGTAACCGGTGTTTTTGGTTTCTTTTTTTTTTTTTTTTTTTTTTTTTCAATTATATAATGTTTGTATATTAGTATTTGGAGCAATTAGCATTAAAATTCTATTCTAAAATGCTCTGGTGTTGAAAACAAGAAAGGCTACACTTACGAATAATATAACTCGGAATAATTTATTTTTGCACAACTAAATCCATAAGGCAATATGACTATGCACTATCGATGATCAACGAAAGGTAAGGTTTTTTTAATCTTTTTAGCTTTTAGTTGTGTAGAAATAATCGTTGAGATAACGACCGCGTTTAATCCATAAAGTACTGAGTGCACTTATTTGCTCTCTCTCTCTCTCTCTCTCTCTCTCTCTCTCTCTCTCTCTCCCTCCCTCCATCTATTTATCTATCTATCTATCTCTCTGTCTGTGTATCATTGTATGGTCACTGTATTTGTTATTTAAAGTCTTTAAATTTAAATTGTTGTTGAAATAAAAAGTCGCTTCGAGCATTGTATTATATTGGATTTCATCATTTTACATTTATTATATACAATAATACAATTTCATTGAAATTGAATTTAATATATTTTTATATTATAAATGTCAATTTATTTCGTAACGTTATCTGTGAATATTGCTATGACAGAATATAAAATTGAATTTCGAGACTAAATTAAAAAAAAAAAAAAAAAAAAAAAAAAAACAGTAATTACGAATTATAAATTGTACTTTTATAATAATTTTGTTTTTATTTTGTTTACAATTGTTGTCAATCTTGATAATCAAATATAGTTTTTATATATTTAATGTTTTAATATAATAAAAAGTTTTTTTCAAAATTTTTATAAGTTTAGTATTTTATTATAAATAAATTGGTTTGCATTGCAAAGTTAATATTAATAATTTTTAATATTTAATATTTTAATAAAATTTTAATATTTTAATGAAAATTAATATAACAAATGATTTTCTATATGCTATTACATTTTTATTTTGTGTGCAAAATGAATTAATTGCAATTAATTGTAAAAATTCATAATTACCATTCATACGTAGTTAATCTATGAATTAATATATCAATTACTAGTGTAATTACATTTTTCAACGTCATTTTTTCATACTTTATAGCCTGTGACTGTTTAATTACTTTCTAAAAGAATTTCTCTATGCAGTAAAGATACGGTAGCGTTAGATAGTTAATTAACATTTCAATTTCATATTAGATTTCATATTAGAAGTAATGTGAAGCTAGTTTTAATAGACTTTATCTATCTATCTATATTAGAAAAGATCTTTCTTTTTCTTATATTTTTATGATATTAAATTGTACAAAATCATTTATTACTTTAGAAGTTACATAGCTTTTCTTTAATTTCTCTATGTGTATAAATATTAGTCCTTAATATCTTTCTTGTCAATTATATAGTCTGGAACTTACAATTTATTAAATTATTATCCACATAAACATAAAAATTAAACATTTATATGATTTAGTAATAATTGAATTAATTTCAATACTTCGGGCCAATTTATTGTATGCATTGTATTATTCTTTTTTTTTAATTATATTCAATATTTTAATGACTGTATATCTTATTATATTTATACTATATACACATTGTATTTATAATTTATAATAAATTTATAATTCTGTCTACTCAATAATGTCGACTTTAAATAATACGCTTATAAATAACCATTTATTATGTATGAGCGAAAATTGTAAAATTTTCCCGAGTATATTGAATAATCAGAGAGCCCGTTTCTTTTAGAAAATGAATTTATAAATGAATGCATGCTAAGATGAAAAATAATATATTTTGGAAATACTTATTTCGCCCTTAATTATCCGATTTATTAAGATGATATTCAATCAAATTCATTTATTTATTCACATTATAATATCTCGAAATTAATTTTTTTTTATACGGAGCATCACCGATTTAAATAAACTCATCTCATTTTATCAAGTACATTTATATATAATAAACGATCGATAATATTAAATACTGAAATTAATCCTAATACTTATCATTTTTTTTTTTTTTTTTTTTTAATTAATTTTTTAATTAATCTTTATACTGTATATAAATAATAGAATAATCAAAATTTCGGTATAATTCTAATTACCCGATTCAATTTCTTACGTAATATGAATGAATAATACATGATGAATAGGGAGAATCTACTTTTTTTTTACCAAAGAGAAGTATGGTATCGTTAAAAAGACAAATTGAAATTTTTTAAATAATTCAATTAATTAGAAGAAAAACTTACATTTAAAGCAAATAACGATATATATATATATATATATATATATATATATATATATGTGTATGTATTCTATGGTATGGAAAATGAAAAATTGCAACATCTGGTTTTACCGTACGACATATTATATCAGCATGTCATAAATTTCACGCACAGACAACTCGCTTTCTCGTGTTTTGCATACATAAGATGAGAATATTTCGAAACAATTCGTGTTTGCGGTTGGTAAAATTTATTTTTATCCTGCACATGCATACATACAATTGTCTTTATACAATAGAACTATTAAAATATTAAGATCATTATAAAATTTTGCAAGGAATTTCAGTATAATCGATTTAGAAGAAATTTTTTAAATCAGATATAATCTTGTATAATATGTATAAATAAATATTTATAAATATTATATTGTCACGGAAATACAAATTTTCAAATAGTATTTGATATAATCAATTTAATATTGATATTTCGTTTGTCTTAATATATATATATATATATATATATATATATATAATTTTTAATTAAATACATGAAAAAAAATTTCAAATGCCATGGCCCCACATGATTTGTTGAAATTTTAAATTTAAATAATATGAGTATGGTATAAGATTCAAAACTACGTGTAATTAGCATTCTATATATTGAATTTATGGATATGATTTTAAAATATGGTCAATTCAATAAAATTACATTAAAAACACAATCCAGAACCTTAATATTATTTTTATAATGAATTTTGGCCATTACTCATACGTATGAAATATATTATCTGCAAATTTACTTGAATATTATTTTTAAATTAGAATCAAATATATGAAATACAGGTATAAATTCAAGTAATTATGATTACTATTAAATACTAGTATTTACGATGATCAAAATTGTATTAATAGTATACCGTGGAATCATATGAAATAAAGGAATATTAATTATTTAAAAATTTAAGTATCTTAATTCATTTATTTTATCTCCCTTGCTTTAATGGACAACTTTTTCTAATAGCAATAAATTTATTATAATTTAATAATATTACTTGATATTTTATATCTTTGATTACAAGTATTTCGTCCAGATATAAGATATACGATTAGAATTACAATCTTTTATTTATTAAATTATAATTAAATTGTAAAAGATTCTATTAAAAAATAATAATCTATAAATAAGAATTTACAAAAAACAAATTATTCAGTGTACAGAATAATCATTACATTATTTTTTTCTTTTTTATTTTTTTTTTTTTTTTTTCATTATGTCCTTAATTAGATGATGCGGAGAAATTATGATGTTTAAAAATGTGTAGGTGTAAAGTTACATTAATTTAAAAAGGTTAAGTACCATCATACAAAGTGTCAGCTTTTAGAATCTTAACATTATTTTCAATTATGATTTTTTAATAAAATTTCTCATTATACTTCAAATTATTTATGTATTTAATAAAAAATATGACACGATGAAGTATTGTATACTTATTTTTCATTTGTAATTGTATACTTATGAATATTATTTATTTTAGAATTTAATTTTATAGTTCAACTATTTTGTCAAATTGTATGAAAAACTAAATGTATCTAGCCGTACTTATGTAGTTAATTAAATTAATATATTTATAGTAAATCGTTATAAAGATTTTTTTATCCATGAGTCGATTATCGCAAATTTTTGTAATTTTTTATTAAGATTTACTCATTATTTCATAATGAACGTTACAAAGTAAGAAAACTTTAGAAATACTGTAATTTCAGCGTAAAGTTCATTTCACACATATAATTATGTATTTATGAATGTTTAAAAGTACATTTAAAGTATATTTAACAATAAAACGTAGTAATTGAATATGTAAATAAAATTATAAATAATTCTTACAAACATTATTAGTTCTGAATAAGAAAAAAATAAAATGAAAATTTTAATATTTTTCAATAATATTTTATAAAATGGATAATAAATTTAGATAATTTCATATCGTATATGATCCCTTAATATCTGCTCGTAATTAAATTAATTAATTCTTGTTTATATATAGAATGTCTTATATATTATTGCGCATAAGTTTGAGTTTACGGCTAAATTCATACATAATATTTAATTTACTTAGTTTTTCAAAATTAATTTATAATAAAGGTGTGAAAAAATACTAATTAATTTAAGTAATATTCATTTTCTGTCACTATTTTAAGTGTGCCTAAGTATGCCAGGAACTTACAGGAACAATACATAGATGTTAATATTATATTTATAATGTTACAATAAAATATAATTTAGTCACTCTTTTAGTTGAATTCTTCACAATTTTGTAATTATGGATATAAATACTTTGTTTTGTCTCTAATAAAACCAGTTTGAATATGATTATATCTAAAATACTAGTACAAACTTCTTTTAGTTTCTCTAATTAATTTTATTTTCAGCCTAGAATTACCAAGACAATTTTTTAATCAACGGTAATTATGTATCTTTAAATTATATCGAATCATTGTAACATATTGGAATAAAATGGCAGACTTTAAAGGTTTTCTCAATAAGTAAATAAGTCTTTCAAAATAA